GAGCCTCGTAGCTTCAGCTTTGAAAAAAAGATGAAATCAATAAAAGTAATGGAAATTCTCAAAAACTATTTTTGCAGTGAGCGTGCTCACATACAACCCTGTGCAATGTCAGCCGTGTAGCTCTAATTTTACAAAGAATAGAAAAATCGACAAAAATAATAGGTTCTTCTAAGAACACTTATTACATCGTAATCGGCATGCTCGCTTTCTCCCATGTGCCAAATCCCAGTTCCTGGCTTAAACTTTGCAAAAAATCGATAAAGCCAGTGAAGGTAAGTGACAAGTTGTAAAATAAGAATGTGCTCGTGAGCAGCATGCTCAATTACCTGCCTGTACCAATCCCCAACGCCATCGTTCAAACATTGCAAAAAATCAATTAAACCAATAGAAGTAAGGGGTATTTTCTGAAATGTTATGATATTCGTAATCAGCATGTTCCCTTACCTCCGTATGCCAACTCCCAGTCACGTAGTTCAAAATCTGCAGAAAAATCGATAGAATGATAGAAGTAATGGGTATTTATGAAAATGGTTATGATATTCGTAATCAGCATGCTCGATTACCCCAGCGTGCCAAACCCCAGCCGCGTAGCTTGAACCATGCAAAAAAATCGATAAAATGATAAAAATAACTGATAATTCTAAAAGCTATATTGTATTCGTAATCAGCATGTCCGCCTGTCCTCCTGTGCCAACTCCCAGCCCGTAGCTTGAACTTTGCAAAAAAATCGATAAAATGATAAAAATAGCTGATAATTCTAAAAACTAATACTGTATTCGTAATCAGCATGTTCGCTTACCTCTCGTGCCAACTCCCAACTCCTTAGTCCAAAATTTGCAAACAAATCGATAAAATGATAAAAGTAATGGGCATTTTTGAAAATAGTTATCATATTCGTAATCAGCATGCTCGATTACCCCCGTATGCCAACTCCCAGTCCCGTAGCTTGAATTTTGCAAAAAAATCGATAAAATGATAAAAATAACTGATAATTCTAAAAACTAATACTGTATTCGTAATCAGCATGCTCGATTACCCCCGTGTGCCAACTCCTAGCTCCGTAGCTTAAACTTTGCAAAGAAATTGATAAAATGATAAAAGTAATGGGCATTTTTGAAAATAGTTATCATATTCGTAATCAGCATGCTCGATTACCCCCGTATGCCAACTCCCAGCCCCGTAGCTTGAACTTTGCAAAAAAATCGATAAAATGATAAAAATAACTGATAATTCTAAAAACCAGTATTGTAGTAATCAGCATGTTCGCTTACCCTTTCGTGCCAACTCCCAACCCCGTAGTCCAAAATTTGCAAACAAATCGATAAAATGATAAAAGTAATGGGCATCTTTGAAAATAGTTATCATATTCGTAATCAGCATGCTCGATTACCCCCGTGTGCCAACTCTCAGCCCCGTAGCTTGAACTTTGCCAGAAAATCGATAAAATGATAAAAGTAATGGGCATTTTTGAAAATAGTTATCATATTCGTAATCAGCATGCTCGATTACCCCCGTATGCCAACTCCCAGCCCCGTAGCTTGAACTTTGCAAAAAAATCGATAAAATGATAGAAATAACTGATAATTTTAAAAACTAATACTGTATTCGTAATCAGCATGCTCGATTACCCCCGTGTGCCAACTCCTAGCTCCGTAGCTTGAACTTTGCAAAGAAATCGATAAAATGATAAAAAATAACTGATAATTCTAAAAACCAGTATTGTAGTAATCAGCATGTTCGCTTACCCTCTCGTGCCAACTCCCAGCCCCGTAGCTTAAACTTTGCCAGAAAATCGATAAAATGATAAAAGTAATGGGCATTTTTAAAAATAGTTATCATATTCGTAATCAGCATGCTCGATTACCCCCGTGTGCCAACTCCTAGCTCCGTAGCTTGAACTTTGCAAAGAAATCGATAAAATGATAAAAAATAACTGATAATTCTAAAAACCAGTATTGTATTCGTAATCAGCATGTTCGCTTACCCTCTCGTGCCAACTCCCAACCCCGTAGTCCAAAATTTGCAAACAAATCGATAAAATGATAAAAGTAATGGGCATCTTTGAAAATAGTTATCATATTCGTAATCAGCATGCTCGATTACCCCCGTGTGCCAACTCCCAGCCCCGTAGCTTGAACTTTGCCAGAAAATCGATAAAATGATAAAAGTAATGGGCGTTTTTGAAAATGGTTATCATATTCGTAATCAGCATGTTCGATTACCCCCCTGTGCCAACTCCCGGCCCCGCAGTTCAAAATTTACAAATAATCGATAAATTTGGTAGAAGTAATGACAAGCTTCCATGCTAGAAAATGACAAACACGAAAACACCATCGAGGACCTACAGACAGCATCAACAAGCATGCTTATCCACCAGCGTACAGACAAGCCACCAGTGTACAGACAAAATCCCATTCGGTTTTATATATATAGAAGGATAAAGTACCAAAGTCTTCCCAAGATAGCGAAGTACCAACCAGTTCCTTTTTATAAAAATTCAGACAAATTTTTGGTGAAAAAAGTGATGCCAACAGAATGTCACAAGGTTTTATGAAGCAAATCTGCGCGATGTTGTTAGGCTGCCTATATGGTTCTCCGTGTGCCAGCGCCGTGCCAACTCCGTGCAGCGCTAGCTAGCGCAGATCAGATGTGCATGCGATTCGTATTAGTCGCTCGACGATCCACCGCGGCGCCAGCACGGCGCTGGAATGACGCTGGCACGAATAACTCTGAACACAGCCTCAGTAAGTATTGCATTTTGGAATACAGCCAACGAGCATTAGCCCACATGCGAACAATGCACTATAAGAGATCCACCTTCACCTGTTAAAGAAATTATAAGCTAGAGCTTCCAAATTTGTGGACATATTTGATTTTTGCCTACGAGAATAAGAAGAAGGATTAGAGCTATTTTAGTGTATTCACATCCGTCACAGTGACGATCCCGAGTTGCTGGTGCAAATGACAATGAAATATCATCCAACTTATAATTTAACGGGCTACACTGTTTCTGGACATTATCCATTCTATGAGCCGACTACTTTGGCAGTCATTCTTTATCTACTCGTACCGAATATACCTCTCTACATACTCATTGCTGTGCTGCGTCGTAAGACTTTACGTATACTCAAGGACACATCAGTGAAGCTGAAGAAGTCGAACAGAAAAATGCACATTCAATTGATAAAGGTTAGTTTCTTGCCATGTAAATAATTGAACAAATCCCCACTGAATATTCAAATTTAACAGGTGCTCACTCTGCAGTCATACACGCCATTATTTCTCATCGCAATGATGTTGATGTATATTATCGGCCAATTACAACTGCTCAATCATCCCGTGTTCGAGTACCTCACACAAACAGTCACAGCTTTTCTTCCTCTCTGCAACCCAGTAATCTCTCTCACCTACATCACCCCGTATCGACGAGCATTTTCGAACTGGTTCCGGCCGACTACAAGGTCGTCGTCTTCACATCATGCGCTGAGATCGGCGACATTCAGCGAAGACAGTGTATCAGTGTCACAATCATTGAAGCAAATGTTGTAGTTATAGCTCCATGTACCTACTAGCTCAATCGGGTTCAGTAAATGTTTGATTTTCTTGAATAAACAAACTTACAAACTTACTCATAGAAGAGAATTTTGATTCTCAAAAAGTTCTTGTTACTATAGTTGTAATTCGGGATAAACAAACGCATAAAAACATATAAAATTCACTGTAAGCCAAAAGAGGGATGACTTCCATTCCTCAACATACAGATATGCTTGAGAAAGGGAGAGTGTAAGGGTCGTTTCATACTGCAGTCGCTGCAGCACTGACCGTCGATCGATCGATATCTTTTGCCCGCCTCCATATGACTGCAGTTGCTGCAGCGACTGCAGTATGAAAAACTCTGAGACAATGTGGTATGGGAGGCCAACAAGTAAAAACATCTTGGTGCACTACACCTTTGCACACCCCATTCTCACAAACCGCAGCGTCATCAGCGCCGTTAATACGCTTCGCATGGCTAAAATGGTTTGTTAGACGATATCCAGAGCCGCCTCAAATGATATGGCAGTCCAGTTAGCGCAAGCTAATGGTCATCCACCGAGAGGGGCGCGAGTAAGTCATAGCAGAAGATTACCTGGTGTTCTTACAAAAACAAGGTGTCATTCTCCCTTCCCTTTGTTTCGGACGAGATGAGCAAGGATATCAGGGCATGCGTGCGAAAATCAGGCCTCATCAGAACTCATTAAGGGTCGAGTCGTAGAGAGTCCTCTTCCGCCCCCCCCCTCCCCGCCATTCCCCAGTTTGAAACATCGTTTGGTTCGAAACGGAGCACACGATATAGCATGCGACAGTGTAAAATGTATCATTTGCGAAGCAAACAGGCGCGGATATTGTATGTGCTCAGGAACTATCTATCTCATCACCTCTAAGCTCTCTATATGGAGGAGCACATGGACGGATCTCGAAGATCACGAATGTCAACCTCCTTGGGTACCCACCATATGCTATGCCACCAAAACGCAGAGTTCGATATCTCAGTTAGCATAATTTCGAAAAGACTAAGGTACCAGCGCGGAAGACTCTTGAGGCGTGTTGGACTTCATCCAGAACTTCTAGAATGAATGGAAAAGATGAATGCATCGCCGTAACAATTGAGCTCGCGCCGTTCCTGGATTTGTGCAGATTTTGATCTCCGGGGCCCGACCTCTTCATCGCAAAGCGCATACCAGCCAGAATTGCCTCTAACAATTTTTATCTGCCAAGTGAGCTATGTTCTAAGTTTAGACAAAAGTCTAGTCTAACTCCCATGCAAGAGACGGGATGTCTGACGGGTAAATCGAGATGTTCTGTGCTTCGTTAGTATGCGTAATGTAAGTATTCACACCTCAACTTCTCACCTCAACACCTTACTATGGTTTACCATCCCACTAGTTCTCACTCTTTGACATACATTTCAGTGCAAAGAGCGCTAAAAAGTGAAAGAATCCAAAGCAAGAGTGTCGTACCTTGTAATCGGACCACGAGAGGCACTTTCAATTTTATCTTCTCGCATGCTTTGATTACCCCCTTAGCAATAGTTGCACAGTTGACTATTCCACCGAATATATTCACTAGTATGCATTTTACCTGAAAGGACATCTTTATTACAACTATAGTAGAAAACATTCGTACTTTTGCATCTTCAGTGATGATTCGGAAAGCTTGATAGACTTGTTCCTCGGTGACCGTTCCGCCAACGTCTAAAAAATTTGCCGGTTCTCCACCTTTCAATTTGATAATGTCCATGGTCGCCATGGCCAGACCGGCACCATTCACTGCGATAAAACATTTGAGATACGAAGAGACGTAGAAAGTAAACTACCTAAGCAAGCAATGTTTCCGTCCATGCCTACGTAATTTAAGTTGTGCTTTTGAGCCTCGACTTCCCGGACATCCTAAAAACTGCCCGATAACGTACAGATTACAAGACAACTATCAATGTGTACGTTGTACAGAACATAGGACAACTATTGATAATAATGTTATCCATGAATAATGTGCTTTCTTAGTGAAACCTTTATTACTGTAGACAGTCTTGGACAACATTTCTCTAGTATTTACGTCTTTTCCTTCGAGGAAGACGATCAAGCGCTCCAGCTTGTAAAATGGCAGAAGTCTTTCTATGTATTGGTTGAAAATCAAATGAGCGTGGCGCAGGTCAAGCCATCTTTGAAGCGGAAACTGTTAATAGATAGGTGGAGTATGGCGAAGGGGTCCGCTGACGTTTGCCGCAATATCGCTTGCTTTCCAAGTCAAGCTTACAGCGCTCCTTAGCATTGAAATCACCTCCCCTTGATTTCTCTATTCAATAAAGGGTGAGTTCGGTGCGTGACGCAGACAAAAAGCTGTAGACGAATGAAACCAAAATCTGAATCAAGCAAAAAGCTTCGTCAGACAATCAAGCGAAACAGTTTGGTTTGGTGAATCTAGTTACTATAAATCAAGTCTCTTCATTCGGGTAGTAATTTTGTTCGGTATCGATCCGAATGCACCACGACCTTTCACAGCTGAACTTTATTTGACCCCTCTTTCTCACATTCATTATTGGAAAGGAGTCAACACCCATCGCAGGTGACGAAATCCTTGAGCATGCGTAGCTGGAAGAAACTGTGGGTCTTACCGGTCCAAATCAATAATGCCTGACCTTCGCTCGACTCTTGAGGCACCTTTATGCGGCCCCCCACTCCCAAGAAAAGCGCGTGAAGTACATGATTGGCAATCAAACGGTGAGCCTGATGTGATTGCAACAGAAAATCTGCCAAATAATTCTCAGAGCTTGTGTCTCAGCAGCAAGCTTCAGGTAGTAGTACTTAGTGCTTTATTCGGGTATTCCGGCTGTCTTATAGCCCGCTCAATCTACCTGTGGCAAAGAAACAGGATTCTATTGAAGGTGACAATGGCAAAACACCTGTTTTCCTAGAAAAGCCTTGTCCTGTTTGTTTCTTTATCCAATACTTGGTTCTTTTCTCTTTATTTGTCGCCAACGACGACAACGAATATGAGACTGTAAATTACATTGTGAAGTCAATTTGATTGTGATAATTTTCTTATCTTGTTTGGCTTTGTTGTTTCAGTTCGATAAACGTCAGAGTGAAACGGTACCTTGCAAAAGATGAATCAGTCAGACAAGTAGGTACAACTTTATGTCAGCACCTTTTTGTTGAATCAGTGCCCCAGCTTTACTTGACTAAACAAGTATTTAACGGACTTAACACTTGAAAAGTTGACAATAACGTGGGACATACAAGTTGATACAGGTTAACGAGGGCCCAAAGGGTATAAGTGCCGGTAACGAACGATATCTGACACAACTTCACTGGACCTGTGCCCTAGCTCCTGCGCCACAATTTAATGAAATGTGATCCAATCCAACAGTTTATTGGTTAGGAACCATCAGTCCCCGAGTGAGCTGAGAAACTCACTCATGGATTTACATTTTCTGTACTTAGCGCAGCTTCTACATGCCAACGGTAGGTGGTTAACTTTTCATGTGTTTCACTAATGCTATGATGGATAGTTTTCGTTACAAAACGCTCCTATGGATTCAGAGAGCACTTTGAGTGCGAAATGATAAATGAATAAACATGTAAAACCCATAGTCCGAATGTCTGTTAACAAGTATGTTTTCTTGTACAAATTCTTCTAAGTGGAGCAAATGAGCTGCAATATTGCATACTTATGTTTTCGACCCCGGCGGAGGTCATAGGCTTTTTTCACGGCAGTTCACTTGGTCCTTCTATCGATCTATTAATTTGTTCACATCTCTGTATATATAAAACTCAAAAATTGTTATTTGGGGGTATGTGCTTTATAGAAACGCCCACGGCTAACCGATTGAGCTGAGACTTTGCATAAAGATGTTTTCCACCCTGGAGACGGTTACAGGCTACTTTTCACAAAAATTTGCCGGGTCCTTTCATCGATTTATTGATTTGCTTACCGACCCCCAGAAAAATGAAAGCTTGCAGTCACTATCAAGTCATTTCACCACAGCCATGTAAACGGGGACGGTAAATCTCATTTTTACATGGTAGTTGAGCAGCATGCGGTGACTCTACGTGAGTCGCTTAGTGGATCCCTCTATTCCTGAAGGTTATCTCGCAAGTCGTGTTGTGTGCAGGAAAGCAGGGCAAAGCGAGGTGGTCGGGTGGAGGTGAAGCGCAAGACAGCGGAGAGGTAAGTCCTGCCATCTCACTCGGGAGTGTATACCGCTTGACGGTTTGGCTACCCAGTTCCGTGTGAAACCGGGTATGCCAGCATATAAACATATAAGTGGGGGGGGGGGGGGGGGGGAGCTCGCAGTGCAGATGAACAATGGCCCGGGCTGGACCGGGAAAGTCAACTAGTACTTCTATAAAAATGAAAGCCTTTCATGTTCTTAGCATTTTATCATATAAACAGGAGGCAGTGATGTTCATTCTTGTCCAAGATCACGAGGAACGGTGAAGTAAAGCGGAGATATCCCAAGATAAGTCATCTATAACATGGAAAGAGAAGGGAGTCTCGCTGCAGTACTATACTGGGACCAAAATAGCGTCTACCTCTCTCCACTGAACAATAACCCGGGCTTGCCCAGGAAAGCCAGCTAGTACCGTATATAGTATTTAGTTAGTTGTTATGATGCCCAAGTTTGATGGACAGCGCAAGGCCCCTGGCAACACACTCATCTAATGTTTTGACGATAGGTTCATTCCTATGATCATATCTCCACCAAACCGCCACACGCTCCAGCCTTCAACAAGTATGCCATTTGGGTATTTGACATCTTTTGATAATACATGGGAGGCTAGCTAGGGACGTACAACAACATTACATATAATCACCTGTTCTGATTGATCTTCCATAGCAAAAATTTCTTTTTGTCGAAATGCAGCACTGTCGTCGAAGTTCATTTTTGCGTCCATGCAAAAAACTAAAACACTTTGAAAATCTTTAAATAAGGTAATGAGGTCATTCCATCTAAGGAGTAAATATAGTGACTGACCTCGTCCATCAGTCGTTTCAACAAAAGGATTGATCTCTACTTGAGTAGCATCAGAAGATATGAAAGCTTTATACAGGAGCTTGATCTCCTTGGCCGCCTGGAAAATACATCAGACTATGGAATCGCTGACGAAAGCATACCTTTTCCGCCATTTCTCCGCTGAACTGTAAGTTTTTCGCAATTTTCATAGCTTGTTCATCAGTTATCCCTACTTCAATGTCAATGGGCTCCTAATAAACAAATAATTAGATGAGAGCGAACTGCTTTTATCTTCGCTCTAAAAAACCTCAAAGTTGCATTCGGACAAGAACAAACCAGGTAGGGAACGAACTTTGAATATTAAATGTGGAGTCTCGTGGGCTACAGTTTCGATATCTACACCTCCAGCTGGCGAAGCTACAATGACTGGTCCATTCGAATCCCTGTCCATAAGTACAGCCACATATGTCTCTCGCTTGATGGGTACTCCTTCGGCAACCATCACCTTCAAGAGAATTGTCTTTGTCTTTTGCTTACATACCTTCCGTAGGTCTAGCCAACAAACAAAGTTAAAATGGTAACTCACCTTTTTCACTTCCACTCCATTCTTGGTTGTCTGCTTGGTGACTAATCGTTTACCGAGCATCCTTGGTATAGATTTCAAACATTCGTCACGACTGAAAGATTCATAACAAGAGAAGAGCGATGATTGAAATTGAGATAATGGCATATAACTGGATAGAAAAAAACCGTTAGTACGGGAACTCTAAAGAACTCACTCTAATGTGATGAATACTCCTCGTATTTTGTCATCCCCACCAATAAAGTGACCTTTGCCACGACCGCCAGCAAGAATTTGTGCCTTTACTACATACTCAATATCACCTTCAAACAACATCTCTAAATGACATGGCCTTGTTGAAATTTAGGAAAAATGAAAAGGCCCATTTTAGCTGACCGAATCTTTTCAGCTTTTCTCTAGCTTCTTCTACATCCGATGCTACGATAAAATTCTGCACGGTACATCCATGCTTATGGAGGAGCTCTTTACTTTGGTATTCATGCAGATTGAGAAACCGTTGTTGTGCTACCTGAATCGGATAAACTCGTAGTCTATTCTGCGCATCTTCTTGAACAACTATGAATATACATGACCTAGAACCCATCGAAGAGAGTGTATTAAAGAAGGACTACTTCAAACATTATTCAGTTTTTACGAAAGCGACAGAAAAATTACACATTGGTAGCTTTCATACTGGCCTGTCGATCTAACAGTCTCAACACAGCTTCCAATAGACCAGAGGCTTCCAAAACTTCAAAGGCTAACATCTACCTTGTACCCCATCTATACACTACCCCAGTGGTAAGTTCTTATCCCAAAGAGTGGGGAGAATATGATTTTGCAGGACTGCTGCAAGGTTCACGACAGATCCCTTTCATGTTTGATAAATGTATGTTTTGAATTCATAATTAAATAAACGAGATCCATGGAGTTGCAGGAGAAGTATTCCCCTAGTCCCTCTCCCACTTATATTACCCATCATGGAATCTCCCTATTTTTATCGAACAAGAGGTACGGCCCTCTTCTCAAGGAGTGATTATATATTTGACTAACTATAATCTTACGACTAACACAGAAAATAAATTAAACTAAATTAAACAAAATGTTGTTTACGAATTCCAATGTTTTGTTTAAGTACCAATTCTATGATAAGATTTATTTATTGTATTCATTCAACCATTCTACCGGCTGTGGATTTCCCGAAGGTGGGTACATGCTACAACCAAGAAAAAAGACCACATGTAGTGGTGCGTATACTCTGCATATCAAAAGTCCTATATGAAGTCCTAGGGAGACGTTCTTTTTACTCGGCGGTCTCAAACTTTACCATATCTTGACCTGCTCTAACACGCAATGTACGCTTCAAACCTTTCCTGCTGTTGTTTTGCTCAGGGAAGCTGCCGCAGGGTGTGTCGTTCGCGGCGGTGATCCTGTGTGGAAAACATCACGGTCGTAGGAATAGCTCTATACCAAAATTCCCTCATTCATAACGTCCATATCAGAAATGTAATTACTAACATGAGTAGGTAAATCAGTCAAAGTGACTTAGCATTTGATGAAAAAAAGTAAAATAGATCCGTGTATATAGTTAGAGTCATTATCCCAACTGATTCAATGATAATCAGAAAGATTGTGTTACCTGTATATGAAATTTATGCGCGGATTAAGTCTTATTCAAATGCTCTTTAGATATTAGCAAGTTTTGTTGATTTTCACCGAGTGTGTAATACATAGAAATGAATTGTTGTCTATGAATTTTAATGTTTCGTTCAAATATCAATTTTATGGTAAGTTTCATTATATTGATTTGAACTATTTTACCGGTTATGGATTCCCCCAAGGTGGGTGCATGCTACAACTAAGACGAAAGACTAAATGTAGTAGTGTGCGCTAAATTTATAACTTCCACATCAGGGATGCATGTATTAGCCATAAGCGGGCGATTCAGTCATAATGACTTAGCATTTGATAAAAAGGTAAAACATTTACCCGTGTATATAATTAGGGCTATTACCCGAACTTGTTCAATGATAATCTTAAAGGTACATACAATCCAAGTGGTACAATGGTACATACAATCCAAGTGGCAAGTAACCACTGTACAAAAGTAGGTGTATAATCCAGTTAACCCGCAAGCGGGATTGTCTATGTTCAATCATTCAAACTCTTTGATTAACTGAGTGCATACCTAAATTAAGTGACGGTTGATATATTATTATTATTTGTATTTAGGTATATGGCGTAAAAGAAAGAGAGGCCAGATACACGGAACATTGAGAAGAGCAAGTACATCTTCCCTCTTTGAGAACTTTCTTCGAATATTACAACTAAAATATACATCCATCAGAAACGGATATGACATTACTACATTATATCTGGAATATTTAAATGTTTTAAAAGGAACGAATTTATACATTATAAATATTAGGTGGGTGCAAAAGTTCTGTCGTTTCATTTTCAAAAATTTGTAACTTCGCCAGATTTCAACGGATTTGCTTGCTTTTAATTTTATTAGAAAGATTAGGTCTTCCGCTTTCAAGCGCTTTTTTGATGAGCTTCTGATTCACACTGAGTGCCAAGATAAAAATGGAAAACTAAGACCATGTAAACTTTGACCATTTTAAGTTAGGTCACCAAAAATCTCTGCAGAAAAATCTGAAATCGTCAGTACTTATGTTTTTTGGCCTATTCTTTGCAATTGTGAAGAGTTTGTGCTGTTTGGACGTCTCTTTGAGAAGTTATGATTTTCGCGAAAATTCACAAATTAATTGATTTTGGCGTTTTCCATGGTAAACTCGATATTCATAACTTCTCACGGAGACGTTCAGACAGCACAAACTCTTCACAATTGCAAAGAGTGGGCCAAAAAACATATGTACTGACGATTTCAGATTTTTCTGCAGCATTCCAGATTTTTGGTGACCTAACTTAAAATGGTCAAAGTTTAAATGGTCTTAGTTTTCCATTTTTATCTCGGCACTCAGTGTGAATCAGAAGCTCATCAAAAAAGCGCTTGAAAGCGGAAGACCTAATCTTTCTAATAAAATTAAAAGCAAGCAAATCCGTTGAAATCTGGCGAAGTTACAAATTTTTGAAAATAAAACGACAGAACTTTTGCACCCACCTAATATATTCTACTAAAAGAACAACAAATTGAATTACTTCTAGAATTACGTGAAAATACCTGATATATATATATACCAGTGGCGTACCCAGGATTTCGGCTCGGGGGGGGGGGGAGGCGCGACAAAAAAATTTTTCCGATGCAATGAATTTTTAAAAATTATTTTAATTATTTACAAGTGCAGAAAAGTCATCTGCACAATTTTATAGCCCATGTAAGTAACTTTCAAAAATTTCGTGACCCGTTCTCGGAGGGGGGGGGGGCGCGCGCTGAATACATATATATATATATAAATTATCCACATCAATACTAACAAAAATAGTCACATAACAATGTCTTTGTTGGAAATGAAATGAACCAAGGATAAACTCTAAACTATAAACATAAGAAATCAAAGTATGACTCCGTTTCATCATATATACAAAATTATGCGGTCAAACATATCTATGAGTCTCGTCAATTCAACATTATTGTATTGTATTATATAATATATTCAATATGAACACTACTAAAACTACAAGAAAATCGCAGGTATGTGCTCTACAGTTCATCTAAATACTTAAAATAATGGTAATAAAAAGCGCAATAAGGTAATCAAACAAACTTGATAGTTCACAATAATAACAAATAGGTATAAATAATACATGATTCTGGGTATTCCGTCCTTACTGAGGAGTTCAGGGGAAGACCTAGAACTCATCTTAAACTCCGTCTAAGGAAAGGAACGGAACGGAGTGACGTAATTTAGTGTTCTATAAAAATATTCTAAATCTCTTCAATTTTGGCTGTTGCTACACTACAGAACTGTTGAAATTTCAATTTTATTACTAGTTTATTTGTATCGCGGATCACGATTGAAAGAAGACCAATAGATTTTATTATAAGTGAAAATGTGTCTACGATGGTTATATTGTTTGTTTAGGTATTTATGACTCATTCCTCTTACGAAATGATGATTAAATTTAGACAATAGACGTTACTATGATAAAAACTGTCTATGATAATTATATAATATATCTACTTCAACCCAATAAAGCTGTTCTATATCGCTCGTGTTTGGACGGCAGTCAAAAGCAGGACACGTTCGAAACTAAAACATTTTATCTTGCTTATTTCAAGCCAGTCAGTGGGAACAAGCCCGAATCGCCTCAAGATCAGATTCTCTTGCCTGCAAGAGGCTATACCTATCTGAAAATTATAATAGTCTTGCTAGAAACGAAAAGGAGATAGTCGAGTTCAGAAGAGAGGACAGACCGTTAAGAATGGTAGGTACAAGAAGAAAATAACTGAACCGTATCAAGCCGTCTTATGCAAGATAGAGAAAGGTTGTCATAGACATGTTGCAGAATCCAGATCTGCGTGCTCACAGATAGTTCGTCATATTTTCGAGTGTAACCTTGCATTGCTCGAACAAGAAAACCACCTTGTACTACTAGGTTTAAGTCTTTCCGATGAGGGTGTTTTCATATTCCCTCCCTGTCGAGAAAAGTATGGGAGCACATGAGGAGGAAACCTCGGTCTAGACTATCTAATGCTGGCTGAATGATGGATTTTAAACAAATGCGATTTCATTTCGCTGTGGATTGGTGTCATGTCGACTGATGTCTTGTATTGCTAAAAATTCTCAACAACGTCCACAGTGTTGTTACCCAAGAGGTACCACAGCCCTTCAAGATTTGCTTCTGATGCTATTTTCAGAATATCGAAGAACTGCGATTTTCATCGTCATGGTCAGGGCTCGGCACGAGGTGGCTAGTTGAAAATGCAAAGAAAACGAAGTCCCCCTTGACTTTTGCGAATCTTTACGAAGTCCCCTTTGACCCTGGACCATAATCCTTGAAAAATCCCCAAAAAACGAAACGTCGACTAAAAATACATCGCAATTTTTGTGTCTTTTCGGTCTCAAAAACGAAACACCTTTGCTTTTTGTCCCAAAAACGATATTCAACTTGCTTACAAGCCACCTATGCCGAGCCCTGGTCATGGTGACTACATCTGATAACTTGATCCGTTTGACCAAGAACCGAAATCGGAAAACCAAAATGGGACATATGGAGAAGACGACTATCATCAAAACATGGACTGAATTATGCCACAAATAGATTTTTCGCAACACGTCAAACTTCATGCTGCCACATATGAACCAACAATGTTTGACCTTCCCACTCAACATTCGTGGACACCCAGATTCTCTTTCTGGCTATTTGTAAGCAAAAACCCGTCTCTTCCAAACCCAAGTCATTGAGTTTGCTAAAAGGAGACCTAGTGCGAATCTGGTACGAAATTCAGTCAAAATCCATTGCTCGCATTCCGAAAATTCCTCTGAGCAGAATAAATTCTTTCACCAAAGCCGAAGGTGGGCTTGGGAGTTCTATTATCTTTGAAGAATTTTATTGTCTACTGAG